ATCCCAGCTACTCAGGAGGCAGGGGCTTGAGAATCACTTGAACCTGGGAGGCGGAGGTTGCAGTGAGTTGAGATCACGCCACTGCACTCCAGCCTGGGTGACAAAGCAAAATCCCCTGACCAAAGTAGAAAGTGTAGATAGAGCTAAGACACTGGGCCTCCAGCTGTGCCAGCGCAGGGGCAGCCCTCTCAAAAGCTGGGGTCCTTAACCACCTGCCCTGCCTCAGCCTACCAGAGAGCTGGAAGAGCTCAAGGAGATCGAAGGCAGATCTGGAGCGGCAGAGAAGGAGGTCGACGATTACGACAGTCAAGCAATCCCTCGCCGTGTAGGTTCTGCCAAAGCGCAGCCTGCCTGCGCCTCCAGTGGTCCGCTCGGCTGAAGAGTCAGTGCTGCAACTTACTTTCTTTTTTTTTTTTTTGTCTTCCTGTAGGTACGTGCTCAACTTTACCACCAAATTAGTAAAATTGAGTGGGATTAAGGAGTGTGAACCAGGGATGATCAAAGGCAGTGGTTCCTTTGGGAGCCATTTTAACCCTTATGCACTGTAGGTAGGGATGTAAAATGGCATCTTGTAAAATTGCGCCAGGTGTGGTGGTGCACCTGTAGTCCCAGCTACTCGGGAGGCTGAGGTGGGAGGATCACTTGAGGCCAGGAGTTTGAGACCAGCCTGGGTATCAGTGAGACCCCTGACTACAATAATACAGTAAAGTACAGCCCAGGTGTGGTGGCTCACGCCCGCTGTAATTCCACTTTGGGAGGCCGAGGCGGTGCAGAACACCCGGCGAGGTCGGGCGTGGTGGCGCATGTGCTAGTCCCAGCTACTGAGGTATGAGAATCGCACTCAGGAGGCAGAGGTTGCACGAGCCGAGATTGCGCCACTGCACTCCAAATTGGCCTACAGAATGTCAGACTTTGATGTCTCTAAAAAAAAAAAGGTAAAGGCAGTATCCTTTTCTCATGAAAAGGGGTTGTGTGAGGCTGTGTGTCCTAGACTTCCTTACATCTGTGCCTCTAACCACATCAAAGTGGCCCCAGTGTGGCCCTAAGCCTGATCCACCGGACAGCACCCAGCTCTCCAGGAAATTCATCAGCTATCACCTCTGAGCCTCGTGACACCGAGTGGCCAGAGCCTCGTCATAAGGCCTTCCACCCAGCGCATCTATGTGGTCGGATCCTGATCTATTTTCAAAATGAAATGTGTGCACAGATTTTTTTTTTTTTTTTTTTTTGTTAGACAGAGTTTCATTCTGTGGTCAGGCTGGAGTACAATGGCACAATGTCAGCTCACAGCAACCTCTGCCTCCCGGGTTCAAGCGATTCTCCTGCCTCTGAAGGCCCCAAGTAGTTGGGATTACGGGCGTGAAGGCCAACACTCCCAGCCAATTTTTTGTATTTAGTAGAGATGGCGTTTTCACCATGGTGGTCAGGCTGGTCTTGAACTTCCTGACCTCAGGTGACCCAACTGTCTCACTCCTCCCAAAGTGCTGGAATTACATGTGAATCTGCACAGCTAGACTTCCTTTTTTTTTTTTTTTTTTTTTTTTTTGAGACGGAGTCTCGTCGCCCAGGCTGGAGTGCAGTGATGTGATCTCAGCTCACTGCAAGCTCCGCCTCCGGGTTCACGCCATTCTCCTGCCTCCTCAGCCTCCTGAGCAGCTGCCACCACGCCCGGCTAGCCTTTTTATATTTTTAGTAGAGATGTAAGCTTCACCATGTTAGCCAGGAGATGTCCCAATCTCTTGACTTTGTGATCCACCACCTTTGCCTCCCTGCAAAGTGCTGGGATTATGGGTGTGAGCCACCTACTGGCTTTTTTTTTTTTTTTTTTTTTTTTTTTTTTTTTTTTTTTTACTGAGATTTCTTTTCTCCTGATTTTGGCCTCAGCTCAGTAACCAACGGGAGCTCACTTATCCATGCCAGGCCTGCAGTTTCACATCTGTGGCAAGATGGGACAGATGACACTGCCACGGGCTCTGACATGACAGCTCCCAGGTATTGGCAAGGCTGGCCCTCATTCATTCAGGGGGTATGTTTGAGTGCCACGGTGTGCCCAGACTCTGCTAGGCACCAGAGAGACAAGACACAAGTGACGTGGCTCTCCTCCCACTGCTGATGAGGAGTCCACACAAAAGCAGACAACACTCTAGAACTAGAGAGAGGCCCAGATTGTGACAGGAGCCACACCAGAGTGTGCTTCATGAGGGACTTGAAGCAACTTTTGTGCCTGACCCTAGTAAGATAAGCCGGCCAGTGCAGTGGCTCAGCCTGCAATTCCAGCACTGTAGGAGGCAGAGGCGGCAGGTCATACTTGAGCCCAGGAGTTGGAGACCAGCCTGGGGAAACATGGCAAGACCCCTTCTCTACAAAAAAAGTTAAAAAAATTTGGCCTGGCGCAGGTCATGCATGCCTGTATAATCCTAGCACTTTGGGATCTAAAACACAACACTCCAGCTGCCTCAGCAAGGTCTGGCCAGTGAAATGTACTTGAAAGTGTTACATGATGTTCTAGAAGGGTTCTTAAATGACAAGTACAACCTTTCTTCCCCTTCCTATTTCCTCCTCTTGGGAATGTGCGGCGTGATGGCTGGAGCCCTGCAGCCATACTGCCACATGTATGGACGAGTGCAGTCCCTTAGGGATGACAGAGCTTTGGTCTCTCATGCCAGCAGAGCCAGATATCAACACAGACTTATAAATGGGGGAGAGTAGGAGAGAAATCATAACTCACCTCTACCTTGTGTAAGCTGCTGGTTTGGGGGTTTTCTGAGACAGATACCAAAAATAAGTCCTAACTGATTGAACATGTACTCCAGTCCAGGGCCAGCCAATCAATGTGTTCATCATTCTCCCATCCTCGGTGTTTTGGGTACCACTATGGAAGGAGGCTTGCATCACCTGCCTGCCTGAGGGAGGAGAGAGGGAGGGGCTCCGCCCCAATACGTGTTGTCCCCGGATACAGCTTTGTCCTTGATGTTAGTTCCATGAACTTGACTTGGGTTTCATGTTGCTTCATGACTGAACTTTAAGTGCAGTTCTTTCTTAATCAGGGGTGTTTTTAGGCAGAGGGAACAGTCAGCTTTAACAGCTTCTGAGGCGGTTCCACGGACACTGAAATGGTCCGCTCAGGTGACTCCTCAGGTCCTGGGGTGAGAAGGCTGAACTGGTGGCCTCCCAGAGATCAACCTAGAAAAGAGGGATAAGGGCCGGGCGTGGTGGCTCACGCCTGTAATTCCAGCACTTTGGGAGCCTGAGGTGGGTGGACTGCTGTCAAGAGACGCCAAGACCATCCGGGCTAACACGGTGAAACCCCCAACACTTTGGGAGGCTGAGGTGGGTGGTGGATTACAAGGTCAGGAGATCGCAAGACTCATCTGCTAACATGGTAAAACCCCATCTCTACTAAAAATATAAAAACTAGCCTGCCGGGTGCGGTGACTGACGCCTGTAATCCTCCCAGCACTTTGGGAGACCAAGGCGGGCAGATCACGAGGTCAGGAGATCTAGACCATCCTGGCCAACACGGTGAAACCCCGTCTCTACTAAATATACAAAAAATTAGCCAGGCATCATGGCGGGCGCCTGTAGTTCCAGCTACTCGGAAGGCTGGGGCAGGAGAATGGTGGTGTGAACTCCGGGAGGCGGAGCTGCAGTGAGCTGAGATCGCGCCACTGCACTCCAGCCTGGGCGAGCAGTGCAGACTCCGTCTCAAAAAAAATATCCTGGCGGTGGGGCACCTGTAGTCCCAGCTACCGGGAGGCTGAGGCAGGAGAATGGCGTGAATCCGCGAGGCGGAGCTTGCAGAGCCGAGAGATTGTGCCACTGCACTCCTGCCTGGGCAACAGCAAGACTCCATCTCAAAAAAAAAAAGAAAAGAAAAAGAGGGGCTGGGCATGGTGGCTCATGCCTGTAATATCAGCAACTTTGGGTGCGCTGCTAAGGCAGGTGGGTTACCTGACATCAGGAGTTCAAGACCAGCCTGGCCAGCATGGTGAAACCCCGTCTCTACTAAAAATACAAGTTAGCCAGGCGTGGTGGCAGGCACCTGTAATCCCAGCTACTCTGGAGGCTGTGGCAAGAGAGTCGCTTGAACTCAGAGGTGGAGGCTGCAGTGAGCCGAGATCGTGCTATCTTCCACTCCAGGCTGGGCAACAAGAGTAACCCCATCTCAAAAAAAAAAAAAAAAATTTTTAAGGGATTTTTGAGTCTAAATTGAAATATCAGAAATCTCAGTCCATTCAGTTGCAAAGATTCTGAGAATGTGGCCTGGGTTTAGATGTGTTCCTAGAAGCCTCTTGGGGCTGTTTTAAATTTTCCAAAGTCGGCGGATTTTCTCTCTTTTTCTTTCTTTTCTTGAGATAGTCTCACTCTGTCACCCAGGCTGGAGGGGACCAGCACGATGTCGGCTCACTGTAGCCTGCTAACTCCTGGGCTCAAGCAACCCCCCACCTCAGCCGCCTGGGGAAGCAGCTGAGACTACAGGTGCATGCCACCGTGCCCAGGCACTTTGCACTTTTGTAGAAATGGGATCTTGCTATGGCCACCAGACCGGTCTCAAACTCCTGGGCTCAAGTGATCCTCCCACTTTGGCCTCCCAAAGTGCTGGGATTAGGGGCATGTTTACAGCACCCGGCCGGCTCCTTTTTATGTGACCTGAACAGGAGCAGAGTCCTCTATTTGTGCTCTGACCCCCAAAAGACTGAAGACCTGAAGCAGAGCAGCTTTTCTGCCTCAGCCTCCAGTGACATTGGGCCTGGCCAGCTGCTCTGTGTGTGTTGGGGCTGTCCGGGCACACAGAGATGTTATATGCCATCCCTGGCCTCCACCCCACCAAACACTGTAGTAGTTCCCCCTCAGCCTTAACAACAGGAATGTCTCCAGCTGTTGCCAGCACCTTCCGGGAGGAAGTCACACAAAGCTCCCGCCTGCCTTGAAGCCCAGGCAGGGACCAGTTTGCACAAAAGTCAGTGCTCAGGCTGCTGAGCCTGCTGTCACCTTTGTGGTCATTCCTTTCCTGCACACGGGACAGGGTGCTCCACTGGCCGGTTCTCCGGTGCAACTGTGGGTGCCAGAGGGAGTGGGCCTGTGCTTCCATGCATGGCTGAGAGTCCTGGGGTGGGGGAATGGGGCACGCCTCTCTTGTCCTGCAAAACGCAGCTCCAAGTGCCTCGGAGAGAAAGCAGGCATGGGGGACAGAGGGCTGCAGTGACGCAGGGCTCTGGGAGCCCAGGTTTATCTGTACCCCTGGCCTAGGCCCGTGCCCCCACCCTGGGGGTTGGCGCTCCCTCCCACAGGAATGGCCTGGCTTTGTTCCCAGAGGGGCCAAGGAGCCATTGGTCCCTATTCTCTGTCATTTCCACATCCCCCTCCACCCCAGCAACCTGACCTCAGTTTCCCAAGGAAGAGATTTGGTCCCATCAGGGGGCCTGTGCTGGGGCTCAGAGAGCCCTGTGCCCACCATGCACCTGTGCCATCCCCGTTCCCATCCCTCAGGCAGGTCCAGGGTCCCCTCTATGGGGAGAGTGAGTGGGAGAGGAACGCGGCCTGGTGGGGGCCCAGCGGCGTGGTTCCGGGAGGTGCTCGATCTCCGGCCGGGAGAGCTCCCACTCCGCATGCCTGGCCCTGACTCACTGCCCAGTGCTGGCTGAGTGCCCAGGACAGCCTGAGGCCGGTGGCCCCCCAGCCCCGCCCTCCCACCCCCTGCCCCCGTTTGTGCCTCTCTGTCTGAGAGCTGCCCCTTCGGCCACCTGGCCTTTTTTCCTGAATGATGAGGCTGGCCAGAGGCTTGTTGAGGCTCAGCCCAGCCCCAAGTGCTGAGGTGGGAGTAAAGTTTCAGGCCCCAGGACGTGGCCCACACCGGTCCCTGCAGCACTGAGGATCAACCCCAGAGACCATCCATTTGTGATGGGGAAACTGAGGCACACAGGACAAGGACGACTCCTGATTCCGAACTACAGCGAAGTTCTCAATGACTTCAGGGGCAGGGTGGATCTCACTGGGGCCAGGGCAGCGTGTTTGCATCAGCAGCCCCTGGAGGATGACGCTGGCTTCTCAGATGGGAGGCAGCTCCTTTGAGGAGTCCACCTTGTGTCCGCCACCCAGAAAAGCCAGGTGGGCATCCACACCTGCACTCCGCCTGAGCCCCAGAGGGCGGCAGGGGGCAGCCCAAAGCTCTAGCCACTTAGTCATTATTGGCAGGAGGTGTGCAGGCCATTTAACCACACCACGGCCAGTCCCCTGCTCTCAGAACTGGTGTTTCGGGACAGGCGCCCAGGAGTCCCGAGGCTGAAGCCTTCCTCGGGCTCTGCTGCTCACTGGGCAGCTTCCCCTGAGGACTAGACTCGGGTCCCCTTCCCAGACTCCCAGGCCCTGGGTGGTGGGGGTAAAGTGCGGTAAAGTGCATCCTCAGCCAATAGTGGAGGCCACCCAGAGGGGCAGGCGGCCGGGAGCAGCTCGGATGGCTGCGCCTTTTGAGACGGGGTCTCGCTCTGTCGCCCAGGCTGGAGTGCAGTGGTCGATCTCAGCTACCATGTTCGCCTCCTGGGTTCACGCCATTCTCCCTGCCTCTCAGCCTCCTGGGTAGCTGGGACTACAGGCACCCACCACCATGCCCAGCTAATATTTTCGCAGAGATGAGGTTTCACCGTATAGCCAGGATAGTCTCGATCTCCTGACTTCATGATCCGCCCGTCTCGGCCTCCCAAAGTGCTGGGATTACAGGCTTGAGCCACCGCGCCTGGCCTTTTTTTTGAGACAGGCCTCACTCTGTTGCCTAGGCTGGAGTGCAGGATCGCTAGCCTCACTGCAGCCTCGAATTCATCGGCTCAAACAATCCGCCTGCCTCAGCCTCCTGAGTAGCTGGGGCCAAGCCTTCATGCAACCTCCTCTGGCCTGGCATTCAGTGCTCCCTTCCCTGATGGTTCTGACCAAGACGGCTCAAGGTTCTTCCTAGTTTATGGTTAAAAGAAACATCATGGCCGGGTGCAGTGGCTCACCCCTGTAATCCCAGCACGTTGGGAGGCTGAGGCAAGCAGATTACGAGGTCAGGAGTTTGAGACAGCCTGGGCCAAGATGGTGAAACCCCATCTCCTCGCCTAAAAATACAAAAATTAGTTGAGCGTGGTGGCACATGCCTGTAATGCCAGCTACTAGAGGCTGAAGCAGAGAATCGCTTGAACTCAGAGAGGCGGACATTGCAGTGACCTTGAGATCACACCACTGCACTTCAGCCTGGGTGACAGAGCAAGACTCCGTCTCAAAAAAAAAAAAATAAAGAAAGAAACAGATCTAATAGGGCTTGCCTGTGCACAGGAAGCAAGCTTCCAAGGCTGGACGAACCCAGGGTTGTCGGGTCTGGAAGCTTCTGCTCTCGCTTCATGGGATGGACAGGATGGGAGAGGCCAGGAAGACTAGTTTGTGTCATTGTTGACAGTGCTTGGGTTCTATGGGGACTCCCCCTGGAGAGTCTGGGACTACAGCCTAGGTAACTCATCTTAGGAATGTGGGCCACCTCTTGTCCACTCACAGTGCCCACAACCTCCAGTGACTGCTATATATATATACACACACACATATATATATATATTTTTTGAGATGGAGCCCATTTCAGATTGGAGTGCAATGGCGTGAGTCTCGGCTCACTGCAACCTCCGCCTCCTGGGTTCGCTTACCTCTCCTGCCTCCCAAGTAATGATTACAGGCACCTGACATCACGTCCCAATTAATTTTTGTATTTTTTTAAGTAAAGACGTGTGTTTCACCACAGCCAGGCTGGTCTGGAACTCCTGACCCCGGTGTAATCCGCCCGCCTCGGCCTCACAGTGCTAGAATTACAGCCACTGGCGCGGCTGGCCTCCCATATTTTTATACTTAGAAATGTGAACTGGGCCAGGCACTGTGGCTCATGCCTGTAATCCAGCACTGGAGGCCAAGGCAGGAAGATTGCTTGAACTGAGGAGTTCAAGACCAATCTCACACAACACGGTGAGACTCCTGTCTCTGCAAAAGACCTAAAATTAGCCAGGCATGGTAGCATGCAATCAGTCCTGGCTACTTGTAGGAGGCTGAGGCAGGAGGATTGCCACAACCCTGGGAGGCCGGCGGCTGCAGTGAGCTGGGATCGCACCACCGTGCACTCCAGCCTGGGCAGACAAAGCGAGGCTCTGTCTCAAAAAAAAAAAAAAAAAGAGGGGGAGGAGAGGGAAGGAAGGAAGGGGGAGGATTTGGAGGGAGGGACGGAGGGAGGGAGGGTGAGGAAGGGAGGGAGGGAGAGAGAGAGAGAGAGAAAGGAAAGGAAGGAAGGAAGAAAGAAAAGAAAAAGAGGAAGTGTGTGCCAGGAGCCTGTGGCTGCCAGCCTCTCCTTCATGGAGCTACACCCCCGGTGGAGGCCACTGTGGCCAGGCTTTCTGCAGGCGGGTGTCAGAGCCAGGGCTTAATTCGAGCTGTGCTTCTTAATCCCTACCCACAAATGAACACTGTGGGGTGGCGGGGGCCCTCTGTGGTCAGAGGCCCAGGAGGAGGCGCTTGCTGTCCCAGACTTGAGTCCCCAGGGGATAAAGGTGGAGACTGAGCCAGGCAGGGACACAGCAAGGCTGGCATGGAGGAGACAGGGGAGCAGGAGGGCAGGGTCCTGATCACGCCAGGCCTGCAGTCCACAGGGGCAATGTGGGGAGGATTTTCCGATTCCAAGACAAACCCCAGCTCTGGGAGAAGGGACATGGACCCTTGACATACAGTGGCCCCAACACCTGCCCGTGGCTGATGTCATTATTTACTCCCCAAGCTCCCCGCTCCCCAATCAGAAAGCCCTCAGAGCAGCCTAGCCAGGGAGGGAATACCTGGATGGAGTAGAAAGTTGCTAGAAACCTAAGCATGCTCAGTGGGGATGGGGACTGTGGACTCCCACCAGAACCCTGTTATTTTTTTATTCCTTCATCATCATGGAAAATCACTGCCTGCAAGGGAGGAAAGGACCCCAGATCAGAGGTTGGGGGGATCAGCCAGCTCAGCTGCAGGGCCGGGTACACCCCTCTCCCCACTTCCGGCAGCCCTGGCTCAGCCCAGACTCAGGCTGACTCACGGCAGGCGCTGTGGTCTGGGATGCCTCGGGGCTGCTGGAAGAGGAACGGCCTGGGACAGAGACGGGGAGGATGGCAGGGGGACATTAGTTGTGGGTGTCAGACTTGCTGGGAGTGGGGCAGATTCCTCCCACCTTCCACTCTGTCCTGGCCAGAGCTGTTGAGCCTGCGGAGACAGGACAGACCCACCAGCCCCCTCATCTGGTCTGGGCAGGGGTGGCGTTCCAAGTTGCAGGCTGCCTGCCCTGCAGGACAAGCGCCTTGGGCGGGTGCTGAGCCTGTGGACCAGGAGCCAGAAGCTCATTTTAGTTCAGCGCCCCGTTCTGAGCCAGAGAACTGAACTGGCGAGGATCAGAATCCAGCCACAGTGACCCGAGACTCCTATTTCCCTCTGTAAAATGGGTGGCTGCTCCTCCTCCCTTCGGCGATCACCAGGGCAGAACAATAGATGGTCAGAAACTCTGAATGTCTGCAGGTCTGTGTCACCTCAAAGTAAAGCCCTGGTACAGGCTCCCAATGCAGCAGCCAAGGCTGGATACCAGAATCTTCCATCACCTCTGTCCTCCTCTGGTCATGCCCCACCCGTGCTGTGCACCTGGTCCCCCCACCCTGCCTGGGGGATGCACTCCCGGTCCTGCTCCACCTCCTCACCCCCGTCTCAGCCCCAGTACTCCTTGAGCCACTCCCAGGCTCCTCCTGGGTTTTCCTGTGGCCATCTGAGCCCACTTATCCTGTTTGCCACTTGGTTGAGCACCACCTGTCAATCAAGCAATTATCGAGCGCCTGTGTGTGCAGGTTCGGGACGCTTTCCTGTGTGGGCTGCTCCATTTTCCTTCCCAGGGGCGTTTGGAAGCTTCCCAAAACAAAAAGGCGGAAGGCAGGATATGCCACCTGTGGACGCGGGAAAGATGGCAGGCTCCCGCTTTGTCTCCGGCGTTTGCGCAGCCTCCCATCCCATCCCACTTCCAGAGGCCCTGGGGAG